GCATACCTCCCAAAGATACATCATACCAGAACAGAAAAGAACAATAGCAATTGGGGGGACCAAACCTTACCATTAAATAAATCTAAATTAAATTCAATACGAACTGGACCAGGCAGAAAGTCAACAGAAGTCCAAGAAGTAAATCGGGCCGGATGATAAGCTGCAAGATAATGGGCTGATCTATTACCTTCCCTGAAAATATGTCTGAAGTAAATCCCTTTCCTAAAACAAACTTGTCTGAACTCGATGATTTCATCAGACCTAGCCATGATGAATCCGCCTGAAAGTAAGCTAAGAGAAATCTCAGCATCAATCTCGACCTGAAATCCTCGATAGCCTTCATCAATTGCCCAACGGGTTGCCCTCATAGCAGCAATAAGTTCCGCTTCCAAGGATGAAGAAGCAGGAATCGGAAATGCACAGGCGCATACCAACTCTCCTCTTTGGTTTCTCAAAATCGCTCCTCCTGAAGCCGAGCCAGGTAGAAAAGCCGCATCTACATTTAACTTTAATCCTCTGATTGAGCCAGGTAGACCTCACATTCACTAGTTCACTTACTCTACCAATTCAATCACCCGTACTGTGGATGCATATATAACTCTCTAATAGAGTCATATGCAGCTTAGACCTGCACAAAAACGGGTTCGGGCCGGGCTCGGGCCGGGCTTTTTATAATTTTTTTGCCCATCATGTGTGGGCGGGCCCGGCCCGGCCTGCAAAAACGGGCCTAACCTATGTCCATAATATTACAACATTTAAATAATTGTTAAAACACTTATAATATTTATTTTTATGCCTTTCACCACATACAAAAATAATACTTACATAAAAATAATAATGAGAGACTATATCTAAAATTTAAATTTCAAGCAAAAAGTATTTATCTTTAAGTACAAAAATAGATACTATATTAGTTGGGCTAGTTGTTAAGAACTAAAAACTTAAATTTAAATATAATAAACTATAAATATGTATAAAGATAAATTATATTAGTAAATATAAATATACATGTGTACATGTAAATAAATAAATAAATTAGCATACACACACACACACTAAATGTAGCGGGCCGGGCTTATCGGCCCGAACGGGCCTACACCCTAACCCAAGCCCGCCCATATGTTATTGCGGGCCGGGATCGGGCCGGGCTCGGGCCGGGCCGGTGGGTAAATATATATGCCCAAGCCCGCCCATTTGCGCGGGCCGGGCGGGCAGGCAGTGTCGATCCTACCAAAACTCGGGCCTGAGTCGAACTTAATAAAAGGCCATATACATTATTTTTTTTACTATAATTTTCATTGAAATTGAAGATTAAACATCATAAAAACGACTAATTAAATAAAAATTACATTAATGTCAAAGTATTCAAATGACTAATAAAGTACAACTCGCCGGAGAGTTTTAGCTGCAAAAGTATTAATTAACTCGACATTCTAGATGTTCAATAAAGTCCTTCTAAACAGATATTTGGTAGGCTATAAATCCTTTTATGGCTTTAAATAGAAAAATATTAGAAATTTAGAAGCTAAGAAAAGAAGATGAAAGATTAACCTTGATGTTGATTGATTAAGTCTATAGATTGGAACAAGGGAATCGCAAATTAACCTTAGCTAAGGCCCTCTTGTCGATCGATTAGTCTAGGCTAGAACAAAAGAATCGCAAATCGCCTTAAAACCCTTTTCCATTTGTACGTTGATGGCTATTCCGCTTCTAAACTGGTCGAACAAAAGTAACTGGGGGACTTTTGGGTTTTCCTTTTTGAAGTACAATAGCGGAGTCAACGGACAAAGGTTAGGCAATGTTGGGAAATAGTTTTAATTCAAATAAATGTGGGAAACTAAAGAGTTGCTAGATACACGAAAAGAGTTCCCAGAGAGTTCTATCTTTAATGTTCCAATTAAATGATGTTTCAATGCCTATTATATATAAAGGCATCCTCCTGTAATTCAAAAGCAGAGTTCCTGGGTAGAATATGATTCCCTTCTCAGATATCAGCACATAGTGTGTGTGATTTGATATCTCTAGGTTCTTTCTAACCGGTGCTCTAACAGGCAAAAGGAAGCCCAATATGTAAATTTAATACATATATATACGAAAGAAATATCTAAAATTGTGGGCCCTAAAATTTTAACAATTTTTTGGACCATGACGCAAGTGCCTCATCTGCCTCAAGCACCGCACGGCTATGTGTGCAGGTCTAATGCAGCTCTATAATTTTTTTCTTTTGTGAAAAACGTAAGTAAAGCTAAAGACATTTCAACTTGGACATTCAAATTTAAATAGATTGAGAGAATAACGATTAAGTAAAGCACATACGAAGTACTATGATTTAACTTGATTTAGTTCAATTTGGTTTTATGACTTTTATCAAAAAAAAATTCGCAAATTTTCACGATTCATATCATTTCGGATACAAACTATCATGACAATACTTTTGATTCGACTTCCGTTCAATTAAATTTGTTTCGGTCAAAGTGAAACAAAATGTCCATTTAAAGAGTAGCAAAGTATGAAAGTTCTTTCAAATTGAGAATTTTAATATACCTCCGTCCCACTAAGTTTGGGACAAGAGAAGGTGACACGGTTATTAATAAAAGTGAGTTTATGTGGTTGATATTGAATTGATAAAGTAAGAATAAAGTAGGAATGATTTAGAACCACACAAACTTTACCAAATAAGGTATGAGACAATCTTAGTGGGACGGACCGAAATGGTAAAATGAGACAATCATAGCGGGACAGAGGGAGTACCACGTAATAGAATTACAATGGGGATTGTTCAAAACATGCATAATACCTACTACCTCCGTCCCATATTGGTTGTCTACTTTCAATTCGGCACGATTATTGATAAAGTGATTGAAAAGTAAAAGTTGTGATTGAAATTTGAGTAGAATAAAGTGAAATAATGACCACATATTTCTTGCCAAAAAGAAAAACAAGACATTCATTTTGGGACAACCCAAAAAGAAAAGTAGGACAATCAAAATGGGACGGAAGTAATTTTGTGTAGGTCTAATGCAGCTCTATAATTTTTTCTTTTGTGAAAAACGCAAGTAAAGATAAAGACATTTCAACTTGGACATTCAAATTTAAATAGATTGACTGATTGAGAGAATAACGATTAAGTAAAGCACATACGAAGTATTATGATTAAACTTGATTTAGTTCAATTTGGTTTTATGACTTTTATCAAAAAAAAAAAAAAAACTCGCAAATTTTCACGATTCGAATCATTTCGGATACAAACTATCATGACAATACTTTTGAATCGGTGCTTGTGTTCTCGTTGTAAATAATTGGTTGTCGCGAATTGAGAGAGAGGAGGGTTGTGGGGAAGCCTTGGCCGTCTGTCCTTTTCTTTTTTCCTTCAATTCTTTTGATTTCAATCATGAAAAGAATTGATTTAATCACTATTTTCAGTTCTATCTGCACGTTTATTTTCTAAGGATATGTTGTCTAAAGATGTCATTTTCGGTGATGAATTGTCACGACCGGATGTATATTCCCTGTCATCATCGATCAGGTATTCTTGTGTCCTTGTAATAAATATCTAACAATTGATGGTCCCCCTCCCGATCTACCGCAGATCCAGGATGATGAAAGAATTGCATGGTTTGCTTTCTTTCCGGTGGTTGGTGAAATCAGAATAAATTCTTCACTTAATTCCTTATGATTGAGGCCATCTCCAACAGTTAACACCATTTTTTACACTAAAATGGTGTAAACATCACATCAAACAGTATTTTATCTCCAACAGTTTACACCATTTTCATCACCAAAAAGGAATATTCTCTTTTTATTCTTTTTACTAATTAACTTTTTATCATTCTTCTATTTAAGCATCTAACTGTCATATATTTATACATTAGCCCCTCATTTAATATTTTGACATTTCACACATTATTTCACACATACAAACTAAAATACATCATTTTAATATGTATTTTCACGCATTTCACTAATTAAAATACAATAAACAATATTTCACAAATAAAAGCTAAAACCACTGTTTTGCTTAAGTCGGTTAAGAGCGACAATGAGCAACTTATAGACATATTGAAGAAATCGTTGTTAGATCGACGGGAACAATTGCAAATCCAGCGACAAAATATGGCATACAAAGAACAGAAAAGAGAAGATAAAATTATGTTCATGGATTTGAATTCTATTCACGATCCACAAACGCGAGCGTATATCATTGCAGAAAGATCGAGAATTTTACAAAAAAAAACTCAAGAAGGATCGGAGGTTCATCAGCTGGATTTGGGAATCTGTTTGATGGTCTCGGAGGGTCTGGAAGCGGGTTGAATGACTACTAATTTCTAAATTAGTATGTACCATGTATGTTTTTAATTATGTTTTAATTTTAATTATAATGGTGTTATTAATTGTAATTTTAATTATGCTATTTCCTTAAGTACCATTTGTATTCTGTTATAATGTTGTTTGGATTTGAAACTTTATTTATAATATTGTGTGATTTAAATTTTATTATATTTTTTTCTATCAAATTAATAATTTTAATTTGTTGTTCTATAAGGATGTTTTTACTTGGACTGTAATTTGTCTCGGGATCAGATCAGACCCGATTAGACCACACTTGGGTAGTTATAAAAATACAAAGAAACCAGACCAGACCACATCATTTCAAATCAGACCAGATCAAATCAGACCAGACCAGAGCGGACAAACCAATTTCAGTCCAAGTAAAACATCCTAATTTGTTGTTTTAAAAATGGGTCAAAACTATAATAATTAAAACTTGAAGGTCACATTTAAAAGGAAAAGAAATTAAAAAAGTTGGATGGTGTTAGATATGGCGTACGCCATATATGGCGTAAAGCCATCCCCTCCCCCATTTTGGTGTAATGATGTAAAGTTTGATGTCATTGTTAGAGCATTTTTTATCAAATACATCATTTTGGTGTTGAAGATGGTGCTTGTTGGAGATGACAAAATCAGGAAGTTTTAATAGTTTCGGTGACTGGTTAAACCGGAGTCCCCCGACCAATGCCGTCAGGTAAGTTACGCAAATGCGTACGTTTCTGTCTCTCTCCTCAGCTTTTATCCCTTTCTAAATTTCGGCGACCAAATAGATGGATGTGCCCCTCACGGTGACGGTGGTTCATTTACCGGTCCCGTTTACCTTTAGTTAATCGACGGCGGCAACCCCTCCCATCTCCACCACCCGGCAGAAGAAGAACATAGTCTATAATGGAAGAACACATGTCCAACCATCACCGGCGTCAGTCGCTGACGACCAACACCCAATTTCCCACAACCGCCGCCACCGGCGGTACAAGCACCAACAAGCGGCGCCTGGGAGGAGACGGAGAGGATCAGGGGGAGTCGGCGGTGTGGAAGGCATTCGAGAGAAACTTCGAGGAGGTTCAGTCGGCGTTGGATCGGAACAGAGTATTGATTCAACAGGTCAACGAGAATCATTGGTCAAGGATCCACGAGAATCTGGTGGAGAATGTGAGTCTAATCCAGGAGACAGGCCCGGCCCGGCCCAAGTGCAACTGGTGCCAGTGCACAGGGCCTCATCTATACGAGGGGCCTCCAATTTTCATTACACAGTATCATATTAGGCCTGTTACGAAATTAAGTATTAAGCTTAGTGTTGGCCCAGGAGACTGCCGACCCAAAGCTTCATTAACTGCTTTTTGTAAATAGCAATTGGAAGATCAATAGGTGCTTAAAACGGTGGAAAATCTTTAGAGGAACGAAGAGGTAAGCCGGCAAGGAGTTAATTCATGTCGTTGTTTTCATTGAACTTGTCTTTATACATACGTAGTATTTTAGTATTATGATTTGGAGTCTTTAGATAAAACATCATGCGTCACCTTCATGATTTCATCTAATTTCTTTCACAACTAAATTGTGGAATCTGGATTTCTGGACTTGAGGCATTCAAATACGCTGATTTCTTTAGGGAATTCACTTATTCACACTATTTAGAGGCCAAGTGGGGAAGACCTTCTTCTGATTTTTAAGCTTTCGAAGAACCTACCCAGCGGCCTCCAAACTTCTTCAGACTTCAGCTCTCTTCCTCCTCTCCACAAGTCATAAGTCGACGCCTGGAGCAACATACACCCAGAGGGAGTCTCAACTTCTTCTCTAAAGAAAAGAGATAAAGTTTTGCTCTAACTTTTCTTTACTTTTTTTACCGGAGAATTAGTTATTTTTATTCTTTTTCATTTTATTATGCCCTCACATAGACACATAGATACAAACTAGGACTTTGGATGGTTGATACGAAAAGGGTAAAAAGACAATAATAACAAAGGTCTAAACACAGAGCTCCGTTTTAGGAAAAAAAAATAGTGTACTACTATTAGGGCCTACTATTAAATTTTTGAACAGGGCCTTCAATATGTCAGGACCGGGCCTGCCAGGAGATCAACGCAAACATTTGCAAAGTCGTTTCTGTCTACTCTGGCTTCTCCGGCAAACATTTGAAGGTGTTTGCTATGGCATCAGGCCGGCTGCATAACGCGATTGGTAGTTAATTTCATTTATTTGGATGTAATTGCGACGGTAAAGATAGTTGAAAAGATTAATTTCATTTCGATGGAATTGAGAGTTATAAAAATTGCTCATTTCATTATAAAATATAGTCTGGAAAATGTTTAGATAATTAGTTAAGAATGCTTTTTCATTAGAAAATATAGATTGCAAAAACGTTTAAATAAGTATTGACTTGGTGTACGTTAAATACTACAGAGTATTTATTAATTCCAAGTGAGCTCGTAATAAAAAGTAATTATTAAATTAGTAGGGAATAAGAAGATAATGAAATCATTAATAAATAAGAAGATTAATAGTTACAATCGATTAATAATTGTGTATGAGTCTAGTAAAAATGTGTTAATTTTATAACTTGTCTTTGAGTGGAATTCTAGTAAAAGAGCCTACAAAAATTGTGTTTGAGTAAAATTGTGTTGATCTATGTTAGAGTGAAATTGTGTTTTCACATTTAAATATCATGTGAGGGTGTTTTAATTGGTCTGGAAGTTTGTTCTAATTTGATCTATTTAAGTCTAGTTTGTTCTGATTTGATCTGAACAGGTCTAGTCTAGTATATATTTGTTTTATGTGTATTTTACAATTGTCAAAGTCTAGCATGATTTGATCTAGTTTGTTATGGTCTGAGACTGAAAGTAATTCAATTAAAAATATCCTAAATATTCTAAAAAAAGTGGACAGATATATCTAGGGAGAAGAAGACTTAGCTTCAATGAAATAATTATTAAAAGAATAAAGAGTATTAGTTATCCTTTGTAAATTAATTATAATGGCTGAAATCCCAATTAAATAAAAGTTATTTAGATTTAGTATAATCATTTCAATTCCAATTTAACTTTTGATTCTGGATTGAACTAATTTAGTTTAACCCTTATTTCAATTTAAAAGTTTTGATTCTAAACTAAATTGAACAGCTTCACATGAACTATATCGACATGGTAAAATAATCTAACTTTTGTTTTAACATATTTAAATATTTAACTTAGCAGTTACCAAGAAAGGTATGCATCAAGTTTAATGGATAAAAAGAGATAGTGAAAGTATAAACGGAGATTTGCTATATAGTGCATTGTTCTATACTACAGTTAGTGTTTTGAGCATTTAAGGTCTCGATGAATCATACGACTTTGATTCATTTATCAAAACATGATTATTTTGGAGAAATTTCTCTGCCAGTTTCATAGTCACTGTGATGTAAATTTTGAATACAATTATGCCTATTAAGAGGAACTAATCGTTTAATGATATTTGTTTCTTGCATTAATATGATTACATTTAGAGATTTTTTCATTCTCATTTAATATATTAAATGAGAAAAAATCATACACTACCCCTGTTTCAAAATCTTTGACACACTTGGATTTCACAAAGAGTAAAAATTTACTGAGGGTAAATTTTACTATAGAGTGCATCGTTTTGACACTATTTTGCACTAATTTGCACCGTTTTGTATTGTATTGTATTGATATAGATTTGTTTATCAAATGGGAAGTGCGACATTCATTTTGAAACGTCCAAAAAAGGAAAGTGAGTCAATGATTTTGAAACGAAGGTAGCATAAGTTAACATAAAAATATACTCCATAATAAAAATTTAAGCTAAAAATTAAAGGTAATTTTTAAAAAATTTAAAATAATTAAGAAAAAGATGAAACATAAAAAAAACTCATAATCATTACATGTATATTATTAAATTAAATTATTGTGGGGTTTATAGTATACTTCATATATGTAAGGATTAAGAATGTTTTCAGTCCCAAACCAGATCAGACCAGTCCAGATCAAACTTTCATACTTATAAAATACACAAAGACCAGAAATATATCAGACCAGACCAGATCAGCAAATTTTAGTCCAAAAGAAAACATCCTAAGTTTCCAAAAATAATAATTATTATAATACTTGTAGTACACTTCGTATGATAATTATTGAAATGGAACGTATGTAATAACTTAGCTTTCTAAATATATATGAACAATATGATTATTATAATAATAATATATACGGAGTAAACGGAGTATATGAATAATGAATTGAAATGTATGAACTAACTTTCCAAATAGAAATGAAGACTAATTATTATTACGGACTACGGAATATTAATTATGTAGTGCCATGTGTCAAATAGTAGCTAAAAGAATGACATGTGGCAATGATACATAATAGAATGACACATGACAAAGTGACTTCCAATTGTATAATATATAGATATAGATTCATTAATAGTGAGCAAAATGATAATGTATTAGAATCCATCTCCCTAAATTGGTACATTGGGAGGTAATAATGCAATTATTAAAAAGTAAATTTGTGTGATCAATATTGAATGGATAAAGTGATAGTAGAGTTAACATGCATTCAACTACAAAAACATTATCAAATTTGATTAAGGAAAATTGCCCTAAATAGAAATAAAAATGTTTTTAAATTTCAAAATAGGACTGTCATGTCTTTATTCTCGCGAAATAAAAGCAATTACTGTGATGTTTACTTTTGGCAGTACCATTATTTCAATATGGAAGTTTTTTTCAAATTTGACACTATTAAAATATATTTAGGATATAATATATCAATAGGAACTCAACTATATATTTGGTATAATAATGAAAATGACAAGATCTTAATAGAATTAAGAATATTTGTAACATGATGGCAGTGACGAATACTGACGATATCTAAACACACTAGCCAAATACCGAATGGGTGGTCGTAAGATGTACATTAATTACTATTTGAATTATTGTCAATGAGGATAGTCTAATTATTTGATTTTATTGTCAATGAGGATAGTCTAATTATTTGATTTTATTTATTGTCAATGAGGATAGTCTTTAATGTATTCTTCTAACTAGGTGATTAACCTTTTTACAACTCCTTAAAAAAAAACTTTTTTACAACTCGGAAAATCCCTGTATCGACGGAGCTAGAAGATCGTCATGCTAGGGCGGAACACGTCCATTGATTTTCAATGAAAAACTATGGAGCCAACTCCCTACACGGTAGGAGAATCCATATAGAAAATGCTTAAATTATAATCATATGATCTGAGTTATAATTCAAAAAGAATTATAACAAAATCATTGGTGAAATTTTGAACAAAGCAATTGATCTGAGTTATAATTCAAAATGAAAAATGAAAAAACATAAATAATCATTTTTTAACAAAATCAATCAATTCAATGCGAACAATAACTCTAACTTCACTTATTTCCATTATCATACTTAATAATGAATGATAATTAAAGTTCATAAAGTGAAAATGTAGATTATCTAAGGAGCTCAAAATGCCCGTAATGACCCTTTAGACTGTGTTTGAATACCACTTCAGCTCAAAAAGATTTGAAATTTAATAAATATAACAATTAATTGGCTTGTAGCTAGTCATGGACCCGGGCCGGGCCTAGGCCCGGTCGGGCTTTAGAGGTTTGGGGGTAGGCCCGGAACCGACCAGGATATCCACCGATGCCGGGTCGGGCCAGCCCGGGCCGGGCCGGGTCCAGTTTAATTTTTTTAATTTTGTTTTCTTGATTATTTCATCCCCTACCCCCCTATCCCCCCCCCCCCCCATCCCCCAAACCCATCGGAAACACCCAGCCCATTTAAACCCAACTCAATCAAAAAAAGAAAAAAAAAATGAAAACAGGCCCGAACCGAGCCCAGCCCGACCGGGCCGGTTCCCATTTCAGCCTACCCGAGCCCGCCCCCGCCCCCGCTTTCCCCTCCGGTTCGGGTCAACACCCAGTACCGGTTCGAATGACCATGCCGGTCCAGGGCCCGCACAGTAGCGGGCCAGGCCGGGTGACTCAAACTGGCTCCATGCCTACTTGTAGCCTTGTTTGGCTGAAAAGTTGATCTTGACTAATCTAAAATGAATCAGCTTATTTGAAAAGTTGATCTTGATTAATTGTATCGTTTCAGTTTTAGCCCTTTGATTAATTCTAGCTCGTGTCAACTTTACCCTCTTATATTCAAACTTATCATGTTTATATTAAAACATTTATTTTATAATGATTTACACTTTCAGCCAATATTTCAGTTGTGTTGTTAAACACTTCTACCTCACTCAGCTAACATTTTGATTTTAGCACTTTTATATAACTCCAAATAATAGTCTCTAAATGGGACAACAAATTTGAGGTACATCTCATTTTTATGAACATATAGCCTTAGAATATGCACTGCCATCACAATAATGTTTAATTTCTATCCAGTATACTACACTTTGTCATAGGGCTGGGTCCGGAAAACCGAAAACCGAAAACCGAATCAAATTAAATCGATCCGTAACCAAATAAAATCGAATCGCTAAAAAACGGAAACTGAATGTAAAAAACCGAACCGAACCGTAGTTGTTTGATTCGATTTTGGTTTTTACCCTTCAAAACCGAACCAAACCGAACAAACCGAACTAATTAAAATACAAAATTTATTTGTTAATTGTTAATCATTAATCCTTATTAATTAATTTTAATATCATTAATAGTGTTTGGTTTTCTTGTGCTAGAGAAATAATGTTTGTGTTATGTTTAGTTTAGTTTAGTTTATAAATTCATTTACACATTCATCGTTTGTAATAATGTAGCTATATTGAATGATGCTAATATGTTTTTACTAGTTATTAGTATTAATTAAACTTTTATTTTTATGTAACTTAAAGATTTTATATTTATGAAACAATAAATGTTCATCTCAACTATATCATATAGAACATATATATTCATGAACTTCTTCGAACTAGTCACAAACAATGTAAATTAATTTATTTATTTTTACAATGTAAACTAATATATATACACTTTTATCTCTCGCATACTCATATAATTCAAGACATATTCATTTCTTCTCATTTTTATTTTATTTGTTGTAGTGTGCTTGCATTCTTTATGTACTCGTAATATGTTTGATCCCTCTAAGTATTATACGAGTATCAATTCTAAATCAAATGACATTTTTTTGGTAAAAACCCGAAAAAATCGAAACCGAACCGAAACAAACCGAACCAATCAAACTGTGGTTCCAAGTTTTGGAGTGTAAAACTGAACCGAAACCGAACCGAACTTTTTACTTTGGTTCTATATTTGGTTTTAGG